AAAATAAACTCAGCAACATGCACACTACAATTAAGGAAAGTGTTTAACCTGTTCTTCAACTACAAGGATCCTCAAAATATTCCAAGGTAACTATTTAACCACTGCAATCAGCACTGGAACGAACGAAATATAACGTCACTCTAGCTCTCTTCAAATTTATCATCCCTCTCCTACATTTTTCATGGTGGACCTGGGGAATCTTACTGCAAGACTATATAGTCCAACATCAACACCATCTTCTTTCCTCTCTTATTTTTCACTTACCTTCACTTTCTTACACTAAATGCCCATGGCCTTTAACCTGTTCTTACAGCCACATCTTTTTCATCTGGATGTTCCCCATCACGACATTAAGTATGGGGCTCTAAACAGGACATTGTTCTCTAGTAGGACCAACTGAATCAGAGCAATTTCTTTACAAATCTTAAGCACCCCCATTAAGTATCAGGAGTGAAATAAGATTTGGTTCTTTGCAGTAACACCACTGTCTATTCCTTTAGTTCATGATCCATTGTCATGAACATACTTGAACACCTTGCCAGCTGATTGCTTTTTAAAATCTGTTTATTTGCTTCTTCCTTCTTAAGGGTTGCATCTAGCCTATTCTATTTCATCTTGTTGACTTTGGAGTGCTCCTCAGAAGCTGGAAATAGCCTGAACTCATTTTGCCCTTTCAGTCTCTTCTCAGGTTGGTAGCATCCAGACATTGCGTGTGAGCATTAACTGCTGCGGCACCAGAAAGATTCCCTTACAGATGCGCACTCAAAAAATGTCCTCCCTGTCTGACCAGAATCCACAGTTGTGCATTCCCTGAACTTCAAGAACACCACAAATCCATGGTTTGCTTAAACTATGGTTATTCAGAACTACCAAAAACTACCAAGTTTTGGTAGTTATTCAGAACTTTCAGAACTACCAAAATGAATACATTTTGCCTACTCTACTGCTTCATCCCCATTTAGAGTCTTTATCTTGTCTATGAGGGACGTTAGATTGGTTGGACAGTTGATGGATTTTACCATTTAACTTTCATTTATTTATTTTTACTGAAAGCCTTGTCTGAGCAATCTATTAGTAAAACACAAAACAAAACAAAAAACCCCCAAACCCCAAACCTCCAAAACAACAAAAAAACCCCATGATAAAACACAAAATGGACATGACCCCCCCAAGACAGAAGAGCTAGCTTACTACTGTTCACCAAAGGCTTTTGTGAAAATCTGCATTTCAAAGCAATCTGAGAAAGAATGCACAATTCACAACCTATAGTCTTGCTCTCATTTGCTGAAGTGTCAGAGGACCCAGGGCAGTCTAGAATTCACATGGTGCTTAAGTCTATCTCGAGCGACAACTCTGTATAGTTACAAAAATACGTGTTTCAAATAAAAAGAATCTCAAGAGTGAAATATATCAGTAGTACAAGGGAAGAGGAAAAAGTCACACTAGCTGTCAGCTAAACTGATTTTACCTCACCTGACCTTCTTAATGTTTTCATTTGTACCAGTCCCTGTGGCTGGATTTGAGCAAGCCATGCCAAGTAAGTAATCTTTGTAACTTTTAACTCTGTAAACCCAGTGATATTCAAGCATTGTGTTCATACTTATTTTAACCTCGCAAAACTCTGGCACTCTCTGTTTGGATGACATTAATTATTTGATTATTACCTTGATAAAGTGGTTTAGTATATGCAAATAGCCTGTTCCGAAAACATTAATCAACTTAGCAATATGCTTACAATTGACACAGGACTTTGTGGATTATGGTTAATAAACATAGCTTCTACTGATGATCCTATCAGCTCCGAGACAAGAAGTAGTCATAGCACACCCTTTAATAGTAGCCAGTGTCAGCTTTCTCCAAAGATAGCTTCCTTTTGCCTACATCACTTTCCAATCATTTTGACCCTCATCAGTGCAGTGAGGCACACAGTTAAGCTGTAATGGAGGTAAGGCCATTTGGTCTAGCAAGAAGAGCAGAAGAGAATATTCAAGTAAATAATATCCTCCCCCTCACCCATATTTCACATGACTGCTTTTGTTTCCCTTATGTCCCAGCAGGCGTATGGAAAATGGCAGGAAAAAGAGTGGACAGATAGAGAATCAGTCTCTCCTGCTCTTGCATGCAAGACTGACTAATCGTATAATCACAGGCACTTTGTTTTTGCAGTTCAAAAACTCAACAGATAATTTTTGTATTTACAACTCCTATGACGCCTCATTTGCAAGTTTCTCCCTTAAAAGGTACTAAAAACTTGTTTTGAGAAGTGAAGCATTGGTTTAGTCACCCCAAGAGGAACTTCAAGCTGAAACTGAGTATTGCTTAACTCAAATAAATCTCAGGACTTGACAATAGCAATTTACTGTTGCTGAAAGCAGGCCTTCTAAATTGTACTGAAAATCCATCCTCATCTTTAGAGAGGAGAATCATTGTGAGTTTATTTTTCCCCACAGTTAGGGAACATGGGATCTACTTGCCCTATAAAGACGCAGCCTTGACATTTATCAGTGAACAGTCTCCTGAATTCAGCAACAGCAGGTCACAAACCTACATCTGTGGATGTGAACTACCTTTCAGACAGCAGCCTTTTTAGCCACAGCAACCTGTGTGTTAAGCAATGGTAACCAAACGTATGTCCACCTTCAATGCACATCACTGCACCTATCCAGCTCTTCTCTGGGACAGTTTAATTGAAATGACAACCAGTCTGTGTATTAAGCTTAAGACTTTCATTATCTTATTCCTGTTACCTTGAAGTGCAACCACATGAGTCTATCACACACTGAATACACAAGATTCTTAGACATATCACTTGCTAATGAAACTGCTGAAAGCACAGTTAAATCTCCTCCAATGTATTCTTCACCTTTTTGTTTTACAACATTTGGTTTAAACTTTCAACTGCTTTGTGCTGCAATACTGAAAATCAAGTTCTTAAAATGGCAGAAAGCCATTACAAGTTAAAAAAGAAATATTCAACAAATCCTCTTTGTCCTTGATGTAACCAACTCCTGTTCATGACAGGAACTAAGTAGCTTTCACAATGGTTTACATCCAGGAGTCTCATTTCAGACTGGAAGACCAGATTAAAATCTTGGCATCTCACCCAAAGGCCGTCGCTCTTTCTCACCCGAGTTTGGCCTAAGCAGCTGCAGAACTTGCCCTCCTGCACCTCTTGAAAAGCCAAGCTGCTACTTAGGAAGGAAGGGGAGAGGGGAGAGCCAGCTATTGACAGAGGGTAGCACCTGCTGCAAGGGGAGCATGTGCCCTGTGGCAACCACAGTGCATTGGGAAAAGCAGCTGCAACATCAATTATCAGGGTTAAGCTGGGAGCACGTGCAAGGGGTTGCATTTAGCTGCTTGGGCAGCATTTATCCTTTGAACAGCCCTTCCCCACCTAAAGTGAGACTAAGGAAACTGCCTGGAAAGCAAGATCTATTAGGGTCCAATTAGGGCCACAATGAAAAGCCTTCAAAATCTCCTGAATATAACAAACTGTATACATAGTTACCACTCTTCCTTCCTCTACCCCATCCAATAGAATAGATTTGCATGGCTGTAGATGGCTTAAAAGTTAAATTCCATCTCTAGTGTGAGAGCATTCACTGGCTGATACCAGGACAGGCTGACAGAAGAAGAATTTAACCTTTAGAGTACAAGCTCAAAAATTGCCTGGAAGGCCATCCAAAATTACTAAGTTCCAAAAGTCATCTCATGTCAGTGACACCTACTGTCCTTCTATGAGTTTCTTTCTGCTCTACTTCACAGGCAGCACAACGAGCAACAACGAGGTACTCGACAAAGGAGCAATTCCCCATGCCCGTGGAGTGAACCTATACCTTCCAAACCTAATGGTCAAAGTTACATCCATATATGATTTTACATAACTTAATTATAATGTTCCCCAGCATTTGTTTTACTCTTTTCAAAGGTTCATATTGATTTTTATTTTTTTAAACTTTTGCAAACATAGCTGAGTTGCAGAAGAAGAAAATGTACCTTCTGTACTTGTGTCTTCTATTGCCTTAACTCTAGCTATACCACACACAAGAGCTGCCTTACTAGTCCTGTTATTTCAGCAAGATGCACAGCCTAGGTAAGTTTACTTTGCCACTCTCTCTTTCCACAATTAGTAAGTCCTGTCCTACAGAAACACCCTCTTGCAAGAGTTGATTATTTTGACCATACTTCAATTCAATTCCCATCCTTGGACTGCCAAGGATGTTAATTTCTAACAAGACTGGTACTGTTCTTCCTTCACTGAGCTGACAGCCAGGGACTGGATTTAGGCCCAGACTCCCAGTGTTATTTAAACAACTCCAATCCTCCTAGTGAAAAAGACCTAAAATGTACTTGAGAATTTAGTCCCCATATTCAAACAGGAATTCATGAAACTGAAAATAAGCAGCTTTCACTCACTGCCAGTTAAAACCCAAATTTTTAATTGCAGCCTACTGATAGCTCATCCTAAGATCATATTTGACAAAAAAAAAAAGTTTGGTTTAGCTCCATTCTACTGTGCCAGAAATGAGAAGTGTGTCTTAAAAATATGGAAAATTATTACACCAGGCTCAGCTGTTGATCACCACTTCTCAGAACTTTTTGTCTGAGTTGCAATCTATTCAGAAGATCCTGAGACCTACTTCTTTCCGCGTGGAGTGCTAAATTCCGTATTACACATGATTCTCTGAAATTTCCTACAAGACTCAAAGCAGTACGCAAACACACATCCTGGGTTCTAGATGTTCGGACGCTTGTATTTGAGAAGTGCTGAGATTGTGTTGAATACTGCCATTTGTCAAAATAATTTTGTTGCTTGATCACAGTAGCTCTGTACTTGGCTACCCTTTACGTTTCTCCTTTATGCTTTATAATTTCACTGCTCAAGCACAGATTTGCATGACTTGTAACAGGAATGATTTATGTGTATGATTTACGAATTCTACCTTAACATAGAGCAAACAGTCAACGTGTCAGTGCTGCGAAGTGAGGCCTGTTCTTACCATACAGTTCATGGCAAAGTGATTGTGCTGTGTCTGAAGCTCCATCGCATGGGGGTGACTGGTTCCAATCTCTGTGTAGCTGTTCAGAAACAGACCTTTGTTGTGTGTGATCCAATCAAACATCTACAAGAAAATATTAAGGAAAAAAAAAAAATCACTAATTAGTTATGGCAGAAATCATAGACAAGTAATGTGAGAAATCTGTGAACAGAGAAGACAGAATGAGTCTAAGGCCACAAAAATTAACAGTGATGCTCTTTCCATCGTAAGTTACTATACATTTTAACCAAATCATTGCTGAAATCTGACTTTTTGGACCAAACAGCTTGAGGCTGTTAAATCTTTACTATAGGTGTTTACCTCAACAAGCTACAGTAAAGCCATATTCATAAAGTCATAAACTTCATTACTACAAAGAAGTCATAGTAAACAAACAGGCTTGGAGCACAGCCCTGAGTTACCAAGCTTATATGTTGTCTAGTGACAGCATTTCATGATGTCAGCAGCTTAGTAACTTAGAATGAAAATGGCAACTCATGGAAATTAAATATAAATTCATTCTTGCTGAATAAGTACTTCAGCAGCAAGTTTAATATTTTTAGTTCATAACTTTACAGCAGATTTGAAAACAACTTTTCTATTGCTAAACAAATTTAAAAAACTATACTTGAGCAGAGTTACACATTACCTTCACCCAGACAAGTTTAAGGATAATGTTTAAATATGTTTGGTTTTTTTTTTAAAAAAATGCATTTTAATATTCAAACAAATTTTAGGGAAGACCTTATCTGACAATGACCATCAATAGAGGTACATAGGTACATTAACAGTGCCACTAGAGACAAAGTTTTCAAAGACCAAGCAACACAGCAAAAGGCTAAGTTTAACACCACCACAACCCCCAGCCCCCTGACAATGGTCTTGAAATCTTTGCTATACGTCAGCTCAAAAGACCCACCTATTCTGTGGATAAGCTGAAAAAGACTGTTCAGAAAAAAATGGTAGCAATGAGCACTAAGTACTCATTTAAAGATGTTTTAAAATACGTTGGCTAACAGAGCAATATTATCAAATCCGTTATTTCACCCAGGTACATGACAAATCAAATTATAAGTAGACCACAATATGGGGAGGACTATAAACAAAAAAAAAAAGTTTTAAGAGCTTAGACAGCTGACCACATACTCGTAAAATGTTCAGTTTCTTATCTAGAGTACAGTGAAGATGTGTTATTATTCAAAATAGACGCTGCTTCTGCTTGTGACCACCTTTCTCTAGGTAGTCCGACTTTGCTGCCTTCAGATACCTACAGGACAATTCCACATCAGATTCCCTCCCATCTCATCCCTTTTTTCCCTTCTCTTGTCCTGAACCAGCCCAGATTTCTTGTGCCGAGCGTTGTGCAAGTCCTCCAAAACAAACATATTTGTTTTGCCCCATCCAATACCCTTTATTTTTCCAACAAAGATCCAGCCCTTTCCGGCACCTAAATAAACCACATCGACATACACTGATAAAGAAGCCCTGAACTATGAAATCTAATCTGACACAAGCAGTGAAATAAGGGCTGCAAGTAGATTAAGGCAAGGGCCTTAACCCCAAAGCGAGTTGGGATACTACACAAACCTACTTCTTAATCTTTTTCTACCGGTTGATGAGAGAGTGAAGTCCCAGGTATGCTAGCTGCTGTCAACCCCATTTTGAGGTACCTAACATTTCCCTCTATTTTCAAAGAAAGATGGGTTAATTTAATATAGACATTCTTGGAATCAGGAACCTAGAAAACACAGATAGGAGCTTATGCAACCACATGGCAGGACACAGATCAATCCCACAAGCTCAAGTATTTCACAAGGAGTTTCTTAAAACCCAGGTTATGTGGGCAACTTTTAGATGAGTGGAGAAGATATCTTTCAATACCATGTGAGCACCATCAAAATATATTTTGTTCATCCTGTAATAAAGAATAATTAATGCTGTAATTAAGTGGCTGAAAGGTTGCTAAAAAGCATTTTGGGCCTGAAAGATCAATACTAGACCAACAGCTAGTTATTTTCCAAGTAATTTTATAACTCTAAATTCACTTGACCAGATTTTTTTTCCACTCTTTACATGCCCCTACTATTTTCAGCTATACCCATTCAGTAAATACTTCCTTTAAACGGTACTTCTAAAAAATGATTTGTGTTTTTAAACGCAACAGAAAACAATAAAAGTAGTGTAAAGAAAGTCCCTGAGCTGAAATGATGAGGGTAAGGGAAAGTACGGGGGAAGAAAACAGAGGAAGGAGGAAGGAGAAGTATTATGTATGTTTGCTCTGCTTTTACTCTTCCCCATGCATCTGCTTATGACCACTGTTTGAGAGCAGGGTACTGGTTTAACACAGACCTTTGGTCTCATCCAGTTCAGGCATTCTTACATAATGTATTTTAAGAAATCTGACAAGGACCATACTTACCACTTGACTGCATAGTCTAGTTACTTCTTCTTCCGCAGAAAAACTCCCCACCCTTCCTTAAAGCTATTTGTTCTGTGATAACAAGTTAACAATAAGTGACTGCAAAACCATTCTATATGAACAGATGATCTTTGAGCTCATCTGAAAGTGCACTGCCCGCCATATTTCCTCTTCAAATTCCATGACAATGAAGGGCTTTCTCAATTGAAGGGACTGGTTTGCCTGAAACATCCTGAGATCACTCAGTCCCCTGTTAACAACATATGCACTGTCAAAAGAGATACATCAGGTTTTAGCCTGGGACTTTAAATCCTGCATCAATGAACCAGTTCCCATGTCAGCCTCTTCAGACTTTGTCAAGTGCCTGTCACTCAAATCCCAAGGGTTTCTCAAAAGGAGATCGATGTAGTCCTTAGTCATCTGTATTTATAAAGTATACAGCATTCATCTTCACTTGATGCATGCAAAAGTATCTGTCTGGAACAAAAACTTATCAAAGCAAAAGCTTTAAAGTCATTAGCATTTAAAATTTTCTTTGGTGAGAGCTACCCGTGTTCTTTACAGCTTAGAATTACTACCCCATCCCCTTTACTCCAGAAGACTAAGAGTCACTCTCAGTCAAGAAATACTTTATTTCTCATTAAAAGGCTAGTGATTAAAGACAAAAAATTACTATCGGCAGTTGTCCTTGGTACTTCTTTCAAGTCTGTCAAGCAGTACCCATTTATACTCCCCTCCCCCAATCCCTTACCTTTTCAGCATCCTGCTCAAACAGCCTGAGCTGAAAACATTGGTCCAATTTCAATTTCCGCACATGCCACATCTGATGCAGATGCTGCCGTGTTGAGTGCAGCCTGTCCAGCATGGTGGATACTTTGGGTAAAAGGTTCTGTAAGTCTGCATTCCCTGACCCAGAGTTCTTTTTGGGAAAGCTATCACTGCTCTGTATCCGCTGGAGCAGCTTTTGTCCTTCCACATCAAGGTCCTCAATAGGGGCCTTAATGACTTTCTTTTTTAATTGTGAATGCTCCTCTATCATATTGCGAGCACCTTCCAGGTCCTGAGGCATTTCCTTTTTTGACAATATATCTTGCAGTTCCTCCAGTCTGGACAGCATATGGGTTGCATTGCTAATGTAGTCCTCAAAGGCAACTCTGATTTCTATCCACTCCTCATGGTTGTACTCCAAACAGCCATCAAATTCTGGGGTTAGCTGAGAAGGATCAACTACTTTGGTAAGGCCTTCCAGAGACACCATATTTGTCTAAAGAATAAAATATAAAAATTTTAAAAATGCTGTTACTGAAATGAATTTGAAATTTTCTTTCAAGTTTTTGTTTTTCTCTTACAAAGAGTTGATCAATTTGCTCATGAAGTCCACGTGACAACTTTTCTCATACACTTCTTTTCAAATATCAGTTCTGATCAGCCTCCTGTCTTGCAGGTATTTCCCCAAATGAGAGAAATATTTTATTTATTTCTTACCTCACTACACTTAAGGAGAAAACAGCAGCCACTCTTTTGACTACTGTTTTGATTAAGTTTTGACTTTGTGTATTCTAATGCAGCAGGAGGATAATAGCAAGGTTTGGTTGGCTGCTCTCCTCTGGATGCTGGTGATGTCACAATTACCATAATGCAGGCCAAGATAACCAACATGAAACCTAACTTTTTACTATTAGGGGTAAATCCCCAATTCCATCTTTCTCATGCTCATAAAAAGAATATAAATTACAACATGCACAACTACTTAGCCTAAGTACATGAAGAAAACCACATTCCCTCTAGCACCACTAGCCTAATGTACCCCTCCTCTCATTTAGAGCATAATTTATCTGAGAGTTTTCAAGATGCTGATCAGTAGTGAGCACACTTAAAACCATGAAATAGATGTAAATTTGTATACCATAGGGGAAAATTACCTCAAACTCAAACTTAGAGCTGCCAAAGTTAGTCCTCTGTTTCTGCCAGAAATTGTCTGGCTTGATTATCAGTGCAACATGAATACAACATGGAAAGGATTCTTGTAAAATCTTCAGCAGAGGCTTTATGGAGTCCCATTTTGACCCACGCATATCTACAATGACGGTGAATCCTCGTTTACATACTTCCTCACTGCAGAAGAAAGAAGAAAAGGTTATCAAGCGTTACAACTTCAAACACAGCACTCTATTGCACCACGCTCCCTAACGAACATGGTCTCCTCAGCTAACTGTAACAGCCTAGGGTCTCACTGTTGACTAGCTGACATGTACAGCAGATATCATGAACCTCTTAGGGAGCTTCTCTCACCCTGCTGCCAAACTCCTTGTGGGTGATAGCTTCACACCTACGGCTGATTTGATAATCTGCCTTTATCTCCTCTTTCATTTTTATTGTTTATATTCACAATGATTCATCTTCCAGTCTTCTTTCTTCTTCACCTCACACACATTAAACACGACATTTATGGAAGCAGCAATATGCAATTCATTTACAATTGACTCTTCTGAACACACACACACTTTCCTGATGACAATATTCATGCCATTCTAATGACTGAGGGGATCCTCTAAAAGACAGAAGATGGCATACTGTTCTTACCTACAACTTCTGCAATTTGTTTAAGCTGTCTCAGATTTAGTCCTATATTATCTGAAAGCTAAAGAGTCTGTAGAGGGAGAAAAACCCCTTTATTGACAATTCTTCTGTAACAGGATTGATTTGTGGATAGTTAATGGATAAGAAAGCATTTTATGGCTGTGAAGAAAACTGCATCAACCTGTTTCTACAAAATTTGAGCTCAGTTTTGCTGTCCAAAAGTCAACAGACCTTACACCCAAATTCTCTGTCAACTCTGAGAATGGCAGATTTAATTTCTTATCATCAATACCTTTTGTACACTTAGTGCTTGCTGCTGATCAAAAGCGGCAATCACCACTAACACCAGAAATTTTGATTTTGTTCCAGTAGAATTTGACCTTGTTAAGATGGAAAGGAAAAATATTTCAAAACCAACGCGTCATAACCAACGGACTACCAAAAGGGACCAAATGTTAATTGTTTGAGTACATGAGTCACTTTCAGGGATGTGACTAATATAAATGCAATTCTGGAGTTCATGTGGTGAGGTTTTCAGAGTGTCCAAGAAGCAGGGAAGCTTGACTGCCATACTGTACACAATCTCATTGGCCACACTGTAGAAAGATGAGTTATAAATGCTACAGGAGAACAGAAGAGCTTCTCAAAGAGGTGATAATATAGGTTCCTTAGATGAGGAGATTTTTTTTAAAGTTGGTTTAAAAAAACCCAAAAAAACCCTAAAACCAATCCACCATTTAAAAAAAGAGTTTATCAAGATAAATGCTGGCTGTCCCACCTGCCCATAGGAATGCCAAAAATGGCAATGGTAGCAGGAAAATACATTAAAATTGACTAGCATGGAATACATGTAGGCTACAACGTACAATTTTCTGACCATGGTGAACATGTTTTCTAACAGTGTCACAGGATTAAAGGGCAAAAACAACTACTGTTTTAAAGATACACCCATTATTGAAAGGCTGCATGCTATTATGAGTGCTGCTCAGTCCATCCCTATCCTACCACACAAACTGGGCACTGCGTGAGGAGGAGTGCTTGCCACTAATTCACTAGGCACACATCTACTGGGGTGTACAAAGTGGCCCCTCATCATGTGATACAATGCAGACGTGTCTTCCCATCATGTGGCCCCATCATCTGACAAAAGATGAATCCCTTTTGGCCAAGGATCAAAAATTGTTCTAGGAGGCTTTTAGTCAGCCAAGGTCATCTGCTAGGTAAACCTTAACTAACTAATACCTGGTCCAGTCAGCATTGATGACTTAAGTTTAGCAATATTGTTAAACCAGATAAATTGTTAAATCAGTAAAATTGTGAGACTGAATCACCTTAAGTGTTTAGATCTCTTGCCAAACAACTGATACCTCTGAATCTTCAGCTACGTAGAGTAACAGTACTGCAATAACTAATAGACATACCAAATGTTCAGAGCTATTTGTACCAACTGGGACTTCTTAATTAGCAAGAGTTGCATGATCAGTCCCTAAAACATAACTTGTATGAAAATGAGTCTTGCTTTTAATAAAGCTCCCTTTACTCTCAAAGTTTTGCCATGCTTACAGAGATATAAAACCTGCAGTAACTTTCTTTTCATTTTAAATCTATTGATGCTAAACTAACATACATATTTTGCCAGAGGACCACTGTATTTTGCCAGATTATCTCTAGAAAAGTCTCTTGGGCATATTTTGATACATATTTATCTACTGACTTCTCTAGTAACTTGAAGCTCTAGAGGGCTAGAATACATCTCAAACATTCAAATATGAAGTCAAATTATTTCAGACAGAAAAATCTCAAGCCTTCTTCCCATCCTCCTTCCTCTACCTCCCCAAAAACCCCTAGTTAACTTTAAAAAAAAAAAAAAAAGTACTAAACACTCCTACACTTCAAAATGAAATAAAGACCACAATAATTGAAGTTCCAACAGCTGCTCGTAAGGAAGGCCATACACACTGTCAACTAGATGTCCTGAAGTTATTTTTATGAAAGCACTTTTGTCAATCTGAAACTGACATCTGATTACATCAGGTGCAACAAAGACTGCCTATAAATTAACACAGTACAGAAATACGGAAGATATTGCATTCAGAGATATTGTCCAAGGGATTTTTTTTCAACTGTAATGACAACTGCTCGTTGAGGTCATAGGCAAACACATTCAGGCACAGTCAGCATTGTTCCAGACTGCACCAAATGCTGGCAGATTCTGAGATGGACCTAAAGTCAGGGTCTTACAATCATTTTTGTCCCCGATTCAGTTACTACTAGGAAAAAAGTTCTATGTGAACAAACTTTTTTACATATATATAACTTTATATATATATATATATGGGGGGGCGTA